AAAATAAAATAAAATAAAATAAAATAAAATAAAATAAAAATAAGCAAGGCTAGCCATAGCATTTTTCCCCCCTACAGTAACTACCAAGGGGATATTTTAGCGCCTGAAAAGGTCCCGGCTTCTCGGGCGTCTGGCCCCGTAGCAGCGCGCTGAACAGGTACTCTTAATCCAAGAACCATTCCGGGGAGAAACCAACAAGTACTTGGGAACCCACAAGCGCCACTTCTGCAGGAATTTTGGGGTTACCTACCCATTTGGAGTTACGTTCGCTTTGACTGGCATAATAAAATGGGTGTACTCACTTCTAAAGGGTCCCTCTCAGTTTCAACAAAAACGAAGGTAAAAGCACAGGACGTGTAGAAAAGGGCAGGTTTCCTATCTCCAGGCCTCGGAAGCGAAGCCCGGACTCCAACAAATATCCCCTGAAGTTATGCAAACCCGAGCGCCGACGCTGAGGAGACTCGGGAGGCCAGGCCAACCCCTGCACCAGAGATGGCGCCCCTCGGGCGGGCGGGCCGGAGCGCGCGGCGCCGCCGGCCCCTTCCGCCGCCTTTGGGGCCCACATCGGTCCTCCCCTCGGGACCCACGCAGCAGGCCTCGGATGCGGAGCAAGCCCACCCGCCCGGGTTTCTCTTCCTCCCAAGGCCCTGCCCTAGGCCGCAAGCCCCGAGCTCGAGTTTCGGAAGCCCCACCTAGGTGCCGGAGTTCCCTCGCGCACCTTTACCTTCTGAAGGCGAGTCGTCTGGGGCCGCGGCGGCAGTAGTCACCGTGGTCGTCGTCGTCGTCGTCGGTGGCGCCGCCGGAGCTGGCTGGCTGGGCGCCGCCGCCGTCGAATCCGGCTCCGTGTCGGGTTCCGGCTCCGGGTCCCTTCCCGGGGTGCTGCTACGGGGACCCGGCGGAGAGAGCTGCAGAATAGGCCTGCGGCCGGGTACCGCCCGGGACTTCTTCCCCATCGCGAGCCTGAGCGCGAGCCGCAAGCGTCGGGCAGCCGAGAGGGGCGGGCGCTCGGCGCGGCGCTGCGTAATCAATATTCATGCACCGCGACACCGCCTCCTCAGAGAATCTGCTTTTAACCGGCGGAGCGGGCGCCCGCGCAAGCGCCCTGGGTCCTGTACACTATTCTGGCTCCTCCTTCCAGGGAGGCAGGGCGGGCTTTACCCACGGTGCTAGGCGATTGGCTGTTTTGATCCATTGAAGGAGCCAGTAGCCAGTGGAAAAGGAAAAAGAGTGAGAGTCAAGCCAATAGCGCGGAAGAGCCTGAGTTAGAACGACTTCCCATTACGAACTCCACCCATGCGTCTTTTGCGGAGTCTTTTCTTTATGCCCCTTGTCCTCCATCTTGTCCCTATTCTCTGCATGCGGTTGGTTGTTTTTGTGTGTGTGTGCCTTGGGAGGTTGCCGTGCTTTCCGAGTCCTTCCGAGTTTCGTCCTGATTATTGTGGGTTACTTGGGGTATAATATTGAACACTGAATAAAATAGTGGGTCTTTTATGCTTTTGTAAGTGTTTTCTTAGAGCACAAATCTGATGTCTCATTGGGTTACTTACCAGCTGGAAAAAAATCACACTAGACATTGTACTTCATAAGAGGGAAAGTCCTAAATTGTTGCGATGGTTTACAGCTTTCCCAATCTGGCCCATTGGTATCCTCAACCTGCTTCATCGTCCTTTAGCACTCTCCCCTCCCTCTCCCCTTCTTCCCTCCTCTGGAGCCAGCCACTTGGACGCTAGCTGGAATACAGCATGGCAATGGGAAATTCTCCATTACTCAAGACCTAGTGCACTCGAGATTCCGTAAACTAACGTTCACTGAGCACTTAACTGTGTGTGAGGCACTCACTGCCTAAGCGCTTTACACGTAAAATTGTATTTTCTCACCACAACCTTGTATGGTAGATAACCCCTAATGTATAGATAACCCCTCAAAAAATTTTTTAAAGGTTTTATTTTTAAGTAATCTCTACACCTAACATGGGGCTGGAACTTACAACCCTCACATCAAGATTGCTATGCTCTACTGACTGAGACAGCCAGGCACCGCCAATTTTTTTTTTTTTTTTTATAATTTCTACACCCGACATGGGACTTGAACTCATGACCTTGTGGTCAAGAGTCACAGGTTCTTCTGACTGAGCCAGCCAGTTTTTGGATGTAAAAGCGATGAAAACCGTGACTCATCCAGTTTGTTCCCTGTTTACGAAACGCACTTTCTGGAACATAAGCACTCAATTTTTTAAATGAATATAGTACGTAAACATGTACAAACTTGAAATAAGTAGCAAGAATTCTTTCTTGCCTATGGGAGAAATATCTGGATTAGTGTCCTGAGATTAGACTCCCCAAATTTCTGAAAAATTAGCAGCTAGAAACAGGATAATTTGCTGCTTTGAAGCTATTAACAGTTTTCTGATATTTCTTAGGGAAGAGGCATTGAAATATAGTAGCTGTGCATAGGAGTTCTGAAGCCAAACATCTTGGTTCAAAAACTCACCCTCTGCACCTTCCAGATGTGGTTGCTTGGATAAGTTTCTTTTTACTTTTTTAGTGTTTGTTTTGAGAGAGAAAGACAGGTCATAAGCGGGGGAGGGAGAGAGAGAGGGAGACAGAATCCAAAGCAGGCTCCAGGCTCTGAGCTGTCAGCACAGAGCCCAATGTGGGGGCTAGAACTCACTAACTGTGACATCATGATCTGAGCCAAAGTCGGATGCTTAACCGACTGAGCCACCCAGGCACCCAGGATAAGTTTCTTAACAACCCTAAATTTTGTTTCAGCAGCTATACGATGTGCTAGTAACAGTATTCTTAGGGTAGTCGTGAAGTTTAAATTAGAACATAGTTTTAAGATCTTTGCCTTCTACAAAGAACAAAATAAGCAATCGTTATATGGTAGCTATTATTATTAATAAGCCTTTATACAAAAATCTAGATCCTATTATAAAACTGGCTGGAACCAAGTTGAGATTATGAGCTAAATCACAGTGCACAGAAATGGGACAGGTTTTTTTCTTGGGGAACTTATATTTCTGGAGGTGACTGAAATAACTGTAATATTTATAACCATGGTTCTCAATGCTGTCTGTTCATGAAACCATCTGGATAGCGCTAAAGCAATATAAAAATCGGAATCAGTTGGATTGGGGGTGGGAGTACACAGCTCATATCAATTTTTTTTTCAAATATGCACTTATTGGGGCACCTGGGTGGCTCAGTCGGTTAAGCATCCGACTTCGGCTCAGGTCATGATCTTGTGGTCCGTGAGTTCGAGCCCCGCATCGGGCTCTGTGCTGACTGCTCAGAGCCTGGAGCCTGTTTCAGATTCTGTGTCTCCCTCTCTCTCTCTGACCCTTCCCCGTTCATGCTCTGTCTCTCTCTGTCTCAAAAATAAATAAACGTTTGGGGCGCCTGGGTGGCGCAGTCGGTTAAGCGTCCGACTTCAGCCAGGTCACGATCTCGCAGTCCGTAAGTTCGAGCCCCGCGTCAGGCTCTGGGCTGATGGCTCAGAGCCTGGAGCCTGTTTCCGATTCTGTGTCTCCCTCTCTCTGCCCCTCCCCCATTCATGCTCTGTCTCTCTCTGTCCCAAATAAATAAATAAACGTTGAAAAAAAAAATTTAAAAAAAATAAATAAACGCTAAAAAAATTTTTTTTAAAATATGCATTTATTTATTTGAAATAATTTTTAAAGTTTATTTATTTATTTTTGAAAGAAAGAGGGAGAGAGAGAACCAACGGGGGAGGGGTGGAAGGAGAGGGAGGGACAGAGGATCCAAAGCAGCCCCTCACTGACAGCAGAGAGCCCGACGAGGGGCTCAACGCCCAAACTGTGAGATCATGACCTGAGCCAAAGTCTGATGCTTAACTGACTGAGCCATCCAGGTGCCCACCCATATCAAATTTTCTTTTCAAGTAAGCTGTATGCCCAGCGTGGACCCCAAGATCAAGAGCTGCATGTTCTACTGACTGAGCCAGCCAGTCAGGCATCCCAATATCAATTCTGTCTGTCTGTCTGTCTGTGTGTATGTATGTATGTATTTATAATAATCTCTACACCCATCGTGCGGCTCTGACTCATGACCCTGAGATCAAGAGTTGCATGCTCCTCTGACTAAGCCAGTCGGGCACCCCGATGAATTATTTTTTAAAAAACTCTTTATAATATTCTAATGCTTAGCCAGGGTTGAGAACCAATGGCTTTTGAAGGAGACATAGTCTGCTGTTACTGCCCTCATAGAAGGTGTTAGGGATCTGAACCAGGAGTAGGCAAATTATAGCTATATCAGACCTTTTATTTTATTTTTGTTTATTTTATTATAATTATTTTTAAAGTTTGATTGATTGATTGATTGAGAGACAGAGTATAAGCTAGGGAGGGAGAGAGGGAGATACAGAGTGTGAAGCAGGTTCCAGGCTCTGAGCTGTCAGCACAGAACCCAATGCAGGGCTCAAACTTGCAAACTGTGAGATCATGACCTGAGCTGAAGTCAGACGCTTAACTTACTGAGCCACCCAGGAGCCCCTTAAAGTTTTTTGTTTTTTTAATGTTTATTTATTTATTTAAAAAAGTTTTTTTTTTTTATTACCTTTCTTTATTTTTGAGAGGCAGAGAGAGACAGAGTGCGAATGGGAGAGGGGCAGAGAGAGAGGGAGACAAAGAATCCGAAGCAGGCTCCAGGCCCTGAGCTGTCAGCACGGAGCCCAATGAGGGGCTTGAATTCATGGACCATGAGATCATGACCTAAGCTGGAGTCAGACGCTCAACTGACTGAGCCACCCAGGTGCCCCTAATGTTTATTTGAGACAGAGAGAGAGAGAGAGAGAGAG